TATCAGGTAATGTATAACATACATTTCCCAGCACAGACTAAAGTTGAGTTGTTCTTCATGGTATGTCCAGCATTACAGTTTATCGAGGATCATATCTATTTGGACTACCCAGCAACACAGGAGCAATCTGTACTCAAAAGGTACGATTTGCTGTTTGTCACACGTAGCCGTGTGTTTTGAGCCGTCAGTCTGTATAATCACTGTTACAAAAATAACAACTGTCCAGCTTTCCACAAAAGGGACACTTCCTGTCCCGTCTGTTCTGTAAATGTGGTGGCGTATGGCGGCTTGCGCTATATTTATCCTGCCGATATTTACTCACAGACAAGCCGCTGTAAGAGAGACGGCCCAGAGGTCGTCAAGACCTGTTTACGCCAACCATTGTTGTCACATAAATAACCAATAAACAGACTCTGCGGATTGTTCGCCCGCTGCGCATCGCGTCACGGTCGTTGCGTGTGGCCATTGTGGTCGGCGTTTTGCCTGACCCCTCGAGAGCCACGCATCTTCAATAAATATTACCTGTAGGAGTTTCCTGCCTGCTGCTCTGCTCTTCCTGTGTGTAAAGAACACGCACTGTGCTTTCCAAGAGCGCTTTAGGTCCTAGGAGTTGGATCTGAAGTCAAGAAGACAAAATATGCAGAATAAAGAAAACAGCATGTAGATCAGATTAAAACACACTTAATCTTATGAGTAGTGCCAAAGCATACATGTCAAATAAAACATATATAATCAAATTTAAGTGATCATTCACAATAGAAATGTGGCAAACTTAAATATCCCAAAAAATGCCTTATTTGGTGCTGTGTGTGTGTGGAACAAAGTGCAGATCTGAGTCAGGAAGGTGAAAGAGCACAAGTAAAACAAACAAACAAAAAAAAAACTCTGCAAAAGATACAAAAAGATTATTTCAGAAACCAGAATAACAAACAGGAGAGCAGATTAAAGCTTTAACTAACTGGTTTATAATGGCTAAAGAAGAGATTAGTGACACATAAACCAGATGAGTTAATCAACAGGATGCAGTGAAAGTGAAGTAAAGACAGTAATGATACAATAAAACACAGAGATCAACACATGAAACAATCGAACACTCAACAAAGAATTTAAACCAGCATATTGTTAAATGAATAAACATTTCCACAAGAAATAACTAGAAAATCATGAATATAACAGAATAAGAAATGAAAGGAGATAGAAAATGACTTTTCTTTCTTGGACCCATTTTATACCAGTACAATCAGAAAAGCATTGTTATTCACAAACTCTTGATGTTTTTCTCAGGGAAAATTTGCTCTTCGTGTTTTCAGAACCCACAGACACTTTTCAAACTCACTTACTCTGACATTTATACAGCACTATCATTTTCCTCATTTTATTTACGGCCACAACAGGTGGAAATGCTCCGTTAAAAAACTGGGGAAATGTAAACAAAGTGCAGTGACATGATGAGAGTGGGTTTCAGAGCCGCGACCCTCTTCAAACAGCTGCACAGTCTAAACAATCCTGATGTCGCCACCAAGTCTCTCACCAGATCTTTCATCTGAGTATCCAAAGCCAATCTGGAAGATTCAGCCGCCGATGGGAACAAAGGACAGCAGGACATTCTGAAAGAATGACATAGTTTGACAGCCATGTGGGAACAAGCTGGCCCCGCTCCTGGCAACGAAGCTTGATGATTTGTGAAAATATGAGCAGCTTTTCAAAAAGAGCTATTTTGCAAACAAGTGTCACGCATGGAGTCTAAAAGTGTAACCCATTCAATTTGCTGCTCAGGCAATCTCAATATTCAAATGGAAAACAGAGCAATACGAATGACAGAGACTAAATGCTCCATGTTTTCTACTTGTTCAGAGCGCAGCACTTACTACTCTCCAGCATGAGGACGAAGGGGGGTGCAGTGCCATTAGAAGCAGTATAGATGCATGGAAAAGGAAGAAATATTTGTAGTGTGTTTTGTTGCAACATGAAGCGTGAAATAAACTTCAGTGGAGTTTAAAGACAAAATATGCATATAGGTTTATGTCTGGTTGAACGACGTGTGTGCCCAGTTTATTTTTTCTTTCCAACAGGGCACAGTTTTTCCGCCTGGTGTTGTACAGCCTGGCGGTGCAGGCGGTACAATACCTGGGAACCAGTGGGTTAGAGAATCATCCCAACCATCTTTGTGCAGATCTGGTTTATTTTACATTCATACCCAGCCTAATAGTGATGTTCTTTTTTTAGTTTTTTTTTTTTTAAATCAGTCTGTCATTGGGAGCCACACTGTGTAATTTTGCCAGACTATGGCTGGAACCGTCCCTGTTACTGTACGCCACTGAAATTCAAAATACAATCAGCAGCAACAATTGGAGGAAGACAGATGGTGGGCTGCACTGCAGTCAGTGCATCTAAATTTAAGTATCTCTCAATAAAGTCTGTCTGTAGACTAAGCAAAAAAAATGTTTGCAGACAAGCAGGGCAGCGTAGTGAAAGAGCTTCTCTTCACTGAAACGTAGAGCATTTTACACTCAGTGGATCTGCAAAACTTACAGATGTTTATTACAACTAAAAAGAGATTATCTTAAATAATTATTGTTTTACCTCTTTAAAAGTGGCATTCTGTGTATTTTGAACAATTTAACTGAAATCAATATAAAATCAATATATTTGATAAATCTTCTCCCTTTGCATGTGGCTGAATTTATATATATATATATATATATATATATATATTATATATATATATATATTTTTTTTTTTTAACAATAGTGCATTTTGGTCGCAGGATTCACCGGACGACATGGGAGGTTGTTGACCCCAACCCAGTCCTTCTAATAACTTACCAGAATGGAGCTGTGTTTATTTATCTCGTAGTTTATTTTGCATGCCGTCACATGAGTGAATGAAAGGCCAAACACGGCAAACGGCTGCAAGCTCTTCGGCAGAAGTTTATATTTTTACTCAAATTTCCGCAGAGGATGTTGTCCTCCAAGCACTTCCAGCAACCTCTCAATGATCTCGGATACAAAAAGAGTCGAGGATAACAACGAGTCGTCTAAACGTCTGACATTTGGCCTGAGGAAACAACAGTGAGTGACAATGCTGGAGCTTCACGAAGGTTAACTCAGATACCTCAGAACTTCTAGTTGGAAAATGCAGAACTTAGCTTGCTGAAAAAAACAAAATGCTGTTTTCCATGGGATCGTTAGAGACCGTTGGGAAAGGTGTTTAGTGTCGGGCCTTATTGAAACGATGGGAAGCTGGCACGTACCCATGCGGTTTTACCGTAAGCTGTTGGTGGGGCTTATCTCGGCCTCCTTTATAGATGCTGCTGTTGATGGGGGGAAGAGTTAATACATAAACACATACGGTAACTCATCAACTTTATCAAACACACACAAGAAACTTATCAGATCGGTCAGTAGTCATAGTCCATTTCACACATCGGTTTTCCTGCTACAACAGATCAGTGCCGCAGCTTCTCTCACTGTGTGACACAGATCTTTACCCACACCAACACACAAAAATTTACTTCAACTATTTTTCGTTTTTTTTAATAACGAGGCTCGTGAATTATTATATGTTCTTCAAAGGTGTTAAAAAAGGTGCTTAAAGTGCACTAGTTGTATCTCCCACTATTAGAAAATAATCAAGCCATTATTGTGGATGGTCTATATTTATGTTGTGGCTTTACATACCTGACTGACTCATAGCAGATAAATAGTGTCCAGTTTGAAACCAACTAACTCTATTTGAGCAAGATGTGCACACTTTATAAATATTAAACACATTGATTAAAAAGCATTCAGAGATCCTGTGCAGTTTTTGTGTATTTTTGTTTAATTCTTATTGTGTCTTTGATCTGAGGCTTGCAAACGGTTCAAACACAGGCACCATGCCGGGCATAAACATGGCAGAACAACAATCTCCCTGAATCCTGCCCACTCTGAGCGCCCGCCAGTCGGCTGATGTGACCCGGAGCTGGTGAAACCTACGTGACTGTTGTTGTGTCTGAGAGGCATTCAGGGATTTCTGTTGTTTATTGTGTTTTGTCGTTTTCTTTTGGGCTTCCCTGGCCACATCCTCTTACTCTTTTCAGCACTACTCCTGCCGTCACTCCTGTGCTCTCTGACACACACCCAGCTTACTCCCGAGGATATGCTCGATTGTCGTACGCACAGGAAGAGAAACGTGCTGCGGGAACAATAAGGATCCATCAGAGCTGCAGCCTGGCGGGTAAGGCGGCGGTCCGGCTGTCTGGCACACAAGACAGCAACAGGAGACTCATTGTTGAGACGTCAGCTCAACTTCAGGCCGGTTTAGCTTGGATTTAAAGGCAAACTCTACACTCCTTTGCTTCCCGAGATCTGATTTGTAAATGTGATATGGAGACGGCCAGATGTGCAACACAGATGTCCTCTCGGGCCATTTGCCCGAGGGCGTCAGGTCTGGTCCACCTCCTCCTCTTCCTGCCCGTCCAGGCTCCCTGTCTGTGCCTCTACGTGACCGGTCCAGGGTCTGGCAGTGCCAGTGGAGGCCGCCATGGCAGCAGATAACGCTAACTAGCTTCCTGCTATTACAGCTAATTGCCCCAAGGCCCGGAACTGTGCAGACACCCTGGGTGGGGCGTGACTGAGCGGCATGATTCTCTGTGTGCCTTGGAAAAATTAAAATAATTAGGAAAAAGTTGATCCTACCTATAAGTTTTGAACGATGAATGAACAAGGAATGAAAGGTGTGGAAGGGAGCACAATGGCAGCAATCTGTTTCTGAAAGATTGTGCATCTTTTGTGGCAAAAGATGCACTTTTTCCGGATGTTCAATCAAACACACGGAAAAGTCAGGAGGTTCAGTATTTCAAGGTAAAATTGATGAAAACTGCCTTATTGGAAGTACATGTGCGATAAACACGTCATGTAGCTAATAGATGAAATCAATAAATAGCTAATAATTTCCAGACATATTATTACTTTAGCATTTAAAAAAACACAGTCAAGCTCAAAATATTTAACAAGTGCAGAAATGTTTACATCATTTAAACGATGTAGGTAGAGAGGTTTTTATCAGAATCCATAAGAGTATAAAAATAGATACAAAATAATCTGAAATTAGACTAAAAATAGCATTAAATTGTGTTTAAGCAGACTTGAACTCCATCTAACATGCTGCATCCCATTCTGCAAAATCTGCATAAAAATTACGCTAACATTCATGAAATACATTAGCATCACAGCGAACATTTACAGGTTGTTTTTTGCAATTCACCCAACGACATATGTGTTTTCTACTTTTTTGTACATATATTGTACGAACTTTAATGTCTTGATAAAAATAGCTATATTAAGGTAGGTTGGGAGTCAGGACAACTTGGAGATAAGAGCTGACGACTGACAAATCTGTAAGGTACAGTTTGGCAAAGATATCAAAGTTCGGAATAAAATTTTAATTAAATGCCTCTTAAGTTTTGAAGAATGCATTATTTGGAGTCAAAGACACAAAACAGCCTATTTCTTTTTTTCAGAAAGCCTGGGGAAGCTTTCACATATAATACCAGCGGTGACAGCGAACAGCAGCGCAGGCACACAATGAAACAGAAATGTGGCACATGACATCAGAGATTTGGATGACAGTTTTGATAACTTATCAGCCAATTCCAAACACTGCAGCAGATTAAAAAAATAAATAAAAAAAAACAACTGCTCCTGTCCTTATTGAAGCCAGATTCTTTAAACGTGAGAATTGCTTTGGGCGGTGGAAGTCAGCCAACTTGAGAACCTTTTGCTTGCTGATTGCCAGAATCTAAAGAAATAAGAAAAAGATTAGAAAATCTTCTGAGGGATTTCAGATAGAGCCCATAAGGAGTCCAACACTTAGTGTGTGTGTGTGTGTGTGTGTGTGTGTGTGTGTGTGTGTGTGTGTGTGTGTGTGTGTGTGTGTGTGTGTGTGTGTGTGTGTGTGTGATGAGGAGAAAATCAAAGCAAGTGGGCATCCTGTGGGCAGCCCAGGGCAGGACCACTGGGTGCCAGGCGGCAGCGAAGTGGGTGTCCTGAAGAGCGTCGTCTGGCTTCACAATACACACTCATGCATGCACACACACAAACACACGCACACACCCTTCTTTCAGTACAAAAGGCCAACATGTAATTGAAGTGGTGTCAGAACTCTGGGGGCCTCCACCCGTCCACCACCACCTCCTTAAGTGAACCCACCCACTGCCATGCTTTATTTTTGTATTTCCACCTTAGATGTCTGTTTCATCAACCATTATAACATGTGCAGCTGTATAATTCTGTATATTTTCTTCTTCTCTTTGGTTTAAATGCAGCGTTTAGGACGACTTACACAAAATGACTCTAAACACTGTCTGGGCCAGACATTAGAAAGCGCTCTCAGAGGCAAGAGCCCTAAATATTTTCCTTTTTTTAGCAAATTGGTTTTGCAAATATTGCGCTTCATGTAACACTCACAAGGTGTTACCAACTGAGTTGCATTAATACTTGAGAAATTTGAAAATTACGACGTTTTAGGAGATTATTTTGGGAACAACATGGAGCCACTGGCCAGGAGACGTATTAAACCCACCATGCATCAAATCATGCTCACTGATACTACCTATAAGTTTTGAACGATGCATTAGTCATCGACTAATGCAAATTAACTTACTGTAATTTGCTGTAAGTTAATGCAAATTAACTTACTGTAATTTGCATTAGTAAAAGAACTTTTCTGTTCTGTGTACAGCACCAAAACTTCTCCAGGTCACTGCGCACAAGTCATATGCAGGATACTTAACACATTTATCAATGGAAACTATCACAATATTTCTTTTTTGCCTTCTGAACTATGTTCAAACTTTTTAGGAATAAGTATGAAAAATGTCAAAAATGAAATTCATTGTGTCTTTTGAAATAAGCAATTTCATTTTATGTTCTCAGCAATAATTTTTTGCATCTTATACTTAATGTAAAAAAATAAATGAACAAAAAATGAAAACAAAACAAAAAAACTAGACACATGTATTGTTTATTGGGTTTGATGAATGAAGTGTTTCTTAAAAACATGTGTTTCGGAAGCATTTTTATTTTTTAGAAAAACAAAATTAAAAGCTTAAACAAAAACCATTTATTTATTCATTTCAGGTGGATTTCATGTCAAAATATGAAAGTAAACGTTTCTAAATATTTTTATGGAAACTGCGTTACGTTTCTTCTGCTCATGAGTTGAACACACAGACAGAAGATGAAACCTAATGACTGCTGGCATGCGATTTGTTTTACGCTGTCATGCGTGTTTCATCATGCGGACGCTGGGAAACAATAGGAAGTGTGTTGGGAGAAGCTGTCACTGGACTCTTACAACTTCCCGAATTAACACTTCCACACATACGCTTTTTGAAATTTTAGAAAACTGTAAAAAGTGCAGCTTTTGTCTTCGACCTCGTCTGTTTCTGTGACCTGAAAGGAACTGACTTGGAAAATCACCAATGTCGCTTTGGTGCCCTCTACTGGCCGCATCAGATGCATTCAAAGGACAGAAAGGCGGCAGAGAAACAGGCGACTGTCAGGTTGCTGCACTGAGCGAATGGCGTGGATTGATTTCGTTAAGCTCAGTAATTGTTTTGCGTGTTTCTGAATGCTGTCAGTAAGTGATTCATTTTCCTGCAGAGGGAAAATCTCTCCCCGCCAGCCTCCATTAGTCATCGACTTGAATGCAGAGGCATGTTTGAATCTGTTTGACTTTAGTTTCTGGGGCATGTTTTCTTTTTATTGATTTTTTTCTTTGTTTTTTGAAGACCACGACAATATGACAAGAAACATCGTGATGTGTTGTTAGTTACATGCTATCCTACAGAATCATCTCCACTTTGTTCTAATATTAATTATCAATACTGATGAATATTCTGGCAAACATCCTCCAATACAAATCTGGCATAAAATACTTAAATATAAGAGCAGCTTTTAAGCTAATTTCCAGCATGTTTCCAAGCGACAGAATTACACTGAGTTTTTTCCATTTGTCATTCTGACATACAAGTTATTTAATGGCCAGGATGAAGAATGCATATCTGCTTGTCTGAGCTTGTCTGGACAAACTGACTAGAGTAACGATGAGATAAGTGAGGAGTGCAGAAAACGTCATGACTCAATGACACCGCGTGTGAGGGCTGCAGGGCCCCTTTAAAACCACCCAGTTCTCTTTTTTCACCTCAGTGTTTCTTTGTCACAGAGACGTTGCAGGACCTTCCTGCTCTACAGTTTCCTTCATTACATTTTTGGACGATGGCAAGCAGGAGATCTGCTTTTGCATCAAAGCTGATCTTTGCATCATTTTTTATTATTTTTTTTTATTTTAATTGGGACAGGTGTGGTTGTAGACTGGGAAACCATTGCAGCTCTAAGCAACTGGGCAATTTGTCATGAGTGATTCACACAAGCTTCAAAGGGAGTGAACTTCTCTCTGCTGCACAGCTTGTATTAACCAACACACTAATAAAGAGAAGCAAGGAGTTCAAATTAACATCTACATATATTTATATAATCTCTCACGTTACATAAATGAAGCTATGTAATGTGAGGAATATTATAAAACCTGATTTTGCAATGATGCTGTAATTTTCATATTTACTGAAAAAAAGTAGGCAGGACTTAAGATTCGTCGAGCTAATTTAATGTTTCCTCTGTCCACTATGGAAGCACTATTTTACAGAAAAAAACAAAACTCTAACTCTTAATCAGTAACATTTACTGAGTTTCAGTTATTTTGTAATCATTTTTAGGTGGACAAAATTGTGCGCAAATATTGAGATAAATAGTCATACAGAAAACCTGGTTAAACTGATTGGGCAACCTGTGTGTGACTGACTTTATACATGAATTTAAAGCATTAAATTCAGGCACAGTGCAGCAAAAATTCATGTACTTACTTGCAGTGACAATAAAGAGCTTATCCATTCACAAAAGTTAATGATTTGTTTAATATTTGGCCTAATTAAGTACTATTGTTCCTCAGTGCTTTATATGTTGCTGGGGTTTTTTTCCTTGCAGTTCAAAATGACCTCAGCCATGTTGCAAAAACTGTTTAAAAAGAGACGTCAGTATGTTTGCTAGTTAGGAATCCTGATGTAAAAAAGCCATCATAACATGAGGAAACTGATGTGTTGTGAAGCAGAACATCTGTTCATCGTTGCAGATCTGCTCGACTTCAGCAATGCATTTGCAGCTTTTACAAATTCAAATTCACTAATTTAATAGAACTTGCGTCAGTTAAACAGGGAACAAATGTTGAACAATCGTCGTATTCACTGCTGATCTGCATGTTGCTGTGCTCTTCTGTGAGATGGAAATACTTTCAAGCATTTGGTTTTCTACAGAAGCCTGATTCAAGCTCAGCTCCACCTGTTTGCTAACAACTTGATCTGCTTGGTTTGGTAAAAAAAAAAGAGTCAAACATTTTTTTTCAACCTTCATTCTGCAGAAACCAACATTATTTATGTCTTTGCACTGAATGGGGAATGTGCAACAGCCTTTGTAATATTATCAAATTGTGCAGCATCTTCTTCCTTCTGATCATTATGTACTGAATAATGCATAGAAAGCAACCAAACGGCAGGGATCCTTTACTTTTAGGAGATGCTCGTATGTAGAATAGGGTTAGAAAAAACGCACTGTCATATCCCGAAATATTATTTATGAAAACATTGCAAATAGGAAAGAATCTACAGTAATAAAAAAACAATTCAGAGCTTAAAGATAAAGCTACTATGTAATAGGATAATGATTTGTTGAGCAGTCTTGAGTTCGAAAGGAAACAGGAGACAAAAATATCTAATTATTCTGGTATTTAGTAAATAAGAATACCTCTGGCAGCCAAAAAGAGACAACAAAAAAAATTGTGGTATATGAAGGAACAAATTCTGGCTTGAAATGAGAAATGTTTTAACTTTTTGTTGACTTGAATACATTGTGTTTTCCTTGCATTTTTTCTTTCATATATTTTTCGCACATTGTTAAATCTTAGTTACACTTGTGTCGTCACAGATAAACATTTGCACTCAAAACGACTCGATTCTGCAGTTAGTTCAAAAGTATGTGATCTCCACTAAAAGGCATCTTCTCATAGAGATGTCTGCTAATTATTCAGAAAAAAAAAAAAGATTTCATTTAGTAACCGTCACAAAGTCAGAAAACTTCTAACAATCGATCAATAATTAAAAACAAGTAATGATATAAATTAATAAAATGTCTGAATCTTTTACATCGCTCACATTAAATGTAAATAATATTGACAGCACAAAGGTCTTATTTTGGAAAAAAAAAAAAAAAGCCAATCAGTGGATGCCTTGATTTTGTTTCTTCTTACTTGAATTTTCACGTGCAGATCAGTCCAAGCTCCACGGCAGATTGAACTTCTCTCCCTCCAGCTCTTTAGTGATCGCAGACTTAAATCGGGCCAGTTGTTCTGAGTTGAAGTGGTTTTTCCAGTCCCCTGCGATCCCTGCCGCAAAACAACACATCGGTGAAAGAGTAAAATAAACACCAACTCAGTAGTCAGACATGTAAAACACTCACCTTTCCTCAGGAAAGGAGACTTGTCGCTGTCCATGTACTGCTTTGGGCAGAGGCTGAAGTTGGACATGGGGTTGGCCTTCATGCTCTGGAAAGAGCAATGCTCTGCTATCTTCTGAATGACTTCTTCACTCAGATTCCTGCGCAAGAAGTCAGAAATGCGCCTGATGGAAGCGGGCAGGTCCTAAACGAGAGACGACACTCGATCATGAACACGCTTATGATAAAATATAGGAACTCTTTCCTCTTGTAATCTTCTTTTTATCTTGTTTTTACATTTTTTCGCTTCACATTTAGGCACAACTTTATGTTGGCCCGTCACATGCTACCAATAAAATGCATTGAAAACTGTGGCTTTAAAGTGACGTGTGGAACAGTTTAAAACATTTGCAAACATTTGTAAGGTGCATTAGGCTCATAATCACACACAACATGAAGCCCAGCCGCCTCTGTTTAGTGTGTGTGAGCAGCAAAAAAGGAAGAGAGCCGATTTCATCAGGATATTTTTAAATTTACACAAATAAATGCAACATGTTTCCGACTAGGAACTCGAAAACATGTTGGGAAGGCACATTAGTGTCTTCCCAACATGTGACACTTATGTGCCTCAAACGTACCTGACTTTTATTGTGAAGGGATTAAAAAAATAAAAGCTACTGAAACTTATATAGATGGAAGAGAATTACCACAAGTCAGTGCGACTATAAATGGCTTACGGGAAACGTAGAAGTGTTTTTTTCAGACTTTAGTTGGCATTTATGAACAAAAATAGTAAAACTGAAGGGACAAAACAACTAACAGGAAGGCTAAAGACAACACATGCAGTACAACACAGTTTGAAACTATGATTATTAACAAACTTATTTAAAAACTTGCCAAAAGAGAGCTGGTGAATATTTCTCAAGATTCTGAAAACACAAACAGGACAAGAGTTTACCTTTTTTTTTTTTTTTTTTTTAAACGGTTGACTTTCTTTGTGTCCTTTTTGTTTTTCAATGTTTAGCCAAAGTCTAAACTAGCCAAAGATGACATAAACTCTTAGAACTACCTGAACCATTTCCTCATAAGTGATGAAAAGCATCCTGTCTCCCAGCTCTGCATTTCTCCAGCTCTTTACATGGTCTGTCCATTTCCCAAAGACGACTGCAGGAAAAAAAAAAAGGATCACAGAATAAAAATATGTTATTTTTTTTGTGTAGCTTAAAACAGGTGCAGCATGAAAAAAACATGATGCTCTGGAAATGCATCACTTGTCCTTTTGCTTTTGTTAATATTTTATTATAAACATGTCGTGTCGAACGTTATTTATAACCGTATTTATACACAACAGCTGAAGATCGTATAAAAACAGTTCCCCATTTTATTGATGCCAGATGAAATCTTGATGTCGTAAAGCAGATTATGACCCCATCACACTTAAACTGAGCAACTAGTTTCTTAATATTGATGGACTGAAATACCAACACAGACCACATGGGAAAGAAAACGCCAAACTCTTTCAGGAATGTGAATTATGTTTGGATTCTCTGACCTCTCCCGTCCAGGAATTTTTCCATGAACTCATCAAAAGTCCCTGGATCCTCCAGGAAGGCGGCCATCTGGTGGAAGTAATATGAAGACACCAGGACGTCTTTTGGGTTCCTTAGTACATAGATTACCTGCAAGTGAAGAACACATGTTGTCTATATTCTGGAGTCGAGTCTGGAAATATCTCACCGGGTCTCCACGCCACTCACTTTGGCTTTGGACGTGTGGAAGGAAGGCGGCATGAAGCTGTAGGGAAAATGTGTGACGAGCGCTCGTGGCGACGGCAACTTATCAACGACCTGCGCCAGCCTCTTTTCCTCCAGCCACGGGACCCGGTCCCAGTTCACCACCGTTTGGACGGGAGTCAGATCTCCGCCACTTAGCACCAGCGGGAGGATCTCCTGCATCCAGATCGTCCCTACAAAGACGAACGAGACACTTCAGTCCAGCTGGAAGTCAGGATTTCCTTTTTTGTTGGATTGTTTGTAACTGAGTGTTGACTCAGACTTACTGAGAAACAAAAGGGAAATAAGCATTTTTTTGTTGTTGTTTTTTTTTTTATAAAACCTCTTACCATATTTTGTTATACTTTCTGCATCCGTTTGGGGTCAAATGTCATACCTATGTGAACAAACTTCGGTAAAAAAGAAGCTGCATAAAGTGCTCGCGTTTTAATTTATTTTTCTTTCACAAACTCTAAGTATTAACTAATAATTGTAGTTGTGTGATTTCCATCAGTGGAAATGTCTTCCTCAGCCTGGATGCCGCTCTGATGTCGCTCGGTCAGTGCTTAAATGTCCTGTAGATCCTCTAAATGAAAATCTGACACAAGTGTTTTTTCCATCTATAGATAAGAACTATGCATCAGAGAAGCTGCACAAGAGAAATCCTGCATGTAGTATGACGGGAGATTATCAGGTTACACTTCCTGGACATATTCCAACAGGGGATATGTCATAATATATTTCTCAGTTTGCATGCAATAAAGGCTCACATCAGAGGAGTTAAGTGAAGCACAGGCCTGAGATTTATATCACAATGAAAAGAAGAACTGCTCCAAAAAGGACAGCAGAGGATTTAGGAAGAATCCTTATGAGTTCCAATCTTCCAAAGATTCACGTTGTTCTCTTGGGGATTCCTGAAATGACTCAAATGAGCTCATTTAAAAAGATAAATCGTCCAGGCAGGAACATTTTTGCTTCAGTACTTCTTTAATTGCCATATAAGTTCACGCTGTTCATTCTATTCCAGCATGCAGTGACAGGATTTGTTGCCGTTATGAAGCACAACTTGCTTCACTTTAAGTTCCATTTAGATGTCGGTTCTTGTTCCAGTATCATCTGGTATTTATCCATTATTGCATCTATTCAGACCAGCTGCTCAGTCGACGTTCTGGAACAGGATCCCAGCAGCCTGGCACCGCCACCAGCATGCTTCACCAGCATGCTTCACCAGGATGCTTCACCAGGATGCTTCACCAGGATGCTTCATGCTTCACCAGGATGCTTCACCAGGATGCTTCACCAGGATGCTTCACCAGGATGCTTCACCAGGATGCTTCACCAGGATGCTTCACCAGGATGCTTCATGCTTCACCAGGATGCTTCACCAGGATGCTTCACCAGGATGCTTCACCAGGATGCTTCACCAGCATGCTTCACCAGCATGCTTCACCAGGATGCTTCACCAGCATGCTTCACCAGGATGCTTCACCAGGATGCTTCACCAGCATGCTTCACCAGGATGCTTCACCAGGATGTACAGTCATCATTTCAGTCCAGTGTTTGTTACCAAAAATGATTAAAGCCGTACATCATCTTCACTTCCTCTTCACATGACCTGCTATGTGTTGGGTTATCTATAAATAGATGCTGCAGGTCTATTGGTTCGTGTCAGGAAGCAGAAGCGACCTTCTCTCCTCTGCTCTGTTTAGATCAACTCTGCCCTTCAGGACTGTCAGCAGCAGGAACACCAACTTTATACCTATTGGGGAAAATATAGACTACATTTGCTTTGCATTATCCCCACATGATGGCAGTGATACAGTATGATCTAATTAGATTCTTGATTCATATGAGAGAGTTTGTATGGTGTTTTAAGATCTTGATCAATGTGATCCATTTCTTTCTTTCTTTCTTTTCTTCTTTCTTTCTTCCTTCTTTTTTTTTACTTTGGGCCCCTCCAAAGGTCTCTGCACGGCCCTGCAATAAAATACTACAGTTTGTGTAAAACTCTGCTATTTACTGGGAATGACGAGCCTCGTCGTAGAGCAGGTCTACTGCAACAAAGAGGCAAAGTCCACTTTCACTGGGGCTCGACGTGAGAACAGACGCCGTCATTCATGCGTCCCCGGTGCTGCTGGAGCCGCTGATCTCTGTGCGCTTTCGGGTCAGTTTCAGGTACTGTGTCCGAACCCAGAGGAGGAGGGAGGAAAAGAGTTACCTTTGGACTCAACTGACCTGACTTCGGGTAGGTAACTGCGAGGACATCCTCATCCTTCAGAGTGAATTCCTGCGCAAACTTCAGACTCTCTGCAGAGTGAGTCTCTCTGGGAAGCAGGAGTCCCTGATGCTCTCGGTAAAGCTCCTCGGAGGAAAGCATCACGCCGCGCAAACGGAGCTGCTGCGGGACGCGGTTCGTACGGAGCAGCGAGCTCTCTTCTCGCCTCGCCTTCGCTCCGGCGAGACTTCCCGCAGCTCTCGCGGGAACACGCAGCCCCGCGAAGGCAACCGGGCCCGCTGAGTTTTTCTTCAGTTTTAATGTTTCTCAGATATATACAGCCTACATTATTTCTGTCCTGAAAAATGTTGTTGACATTTTGTTTTGGACATCATGAAACTTTGAGGATTTTCTGCAATTTATTTCTTTATTTTTGCAGCATTTATTCAATCACGTTCAAATGTTTTAAAGAAGTCGCAGCGAAACAATTTTTAGGCCATGAAAGTCATTTGAGAACACGTTTGCATAAACTTCTGCGTGGTCTGCGCAAATTCACATCGCATATTTCGAGAAAAGCTTTAATGATAATGAAGACAAAAATAAGTGTTTTAAAAAGAACCAAAGCGAGTTTGAGTAACCTGGTTGAATTTCTCTTCTGTTATAATTAGACTACTCAAAATGTCTTTTTTTTTTTTTGGTTATTGTATGGGTTCCTACCTGACTGAAAATCTGTTATTGTTTTAACTGTGTTACTTTAAGAACAGAAGCCCCTCCCCCTTTGTTTCTTCTTCTGTGGTATTGTCTTAGACCCTCCCCTTTTGTCTTGTTGACCTGTGGGAGAGGTGTGTACTATTTATTTTGTATCTAAATACATCCAGTTTATTTATAAAGTTAATTTCTGTTGTGTACTTTTGTTTCTGTAGGGCTTGGAGCGGGCAGCCTGTAACACGGTTCTTTTCTACTTGTCAGAATAAGTCAAGGAATCATCCTTTTAAAGGCGTACCACGGTCTGACCATTTCAAACCAGCACAATACAGATTGGATCTGGTTACATTTGCATTGCCCTCACTGAGTAATCGACCAAATTTTCAGGAGTGCTTCCATGCAGCACAACACTTCTTCATCTTTCACAAGTTCTAAGACTGATTTACGGAAGTTGCTCAACTTGCAGGCTAATTTGGGCTTGTTGTTTTCCCACCCGTTCAGTGATCTGCAGAACATTAGTTAAAACATGAGCCATCAAGTTGGCTGTTAACCTGAACCCACTCAGAGAAGAATGTGACAGTATGAAGCCTTTATTTGAAGGGATGACATTGTCATAAACATGACATAATACGTTATGAAGACGAAGGAGTCTTTATGAATGTTTATGACTGCTGTCATGCAAATTTGTACTAAAAGTTGCACGGAACGTCCATTAAAATGGCCGACTTTGCAATATATGGTAAATGATGCAAATTTTTTACGTGAATGAGGGAAGTGATGGAGTGACTGATGTTCCAAAAGACAAGCCGTCATGGAAACAGGTAGAACCGGTATCTACAGGGACAACAAACACATTCAAATACAAACACACAAACACTAATCCAACATCTTCTGATCGAAAATAATTAATAAACCAAAGTGTAAACTTTCGTCACCAGTGGACATCGGGTTTGTCCAGAGTCCTTCATGCATTTATATGTTGCAGATGTAAATATTGTGTCTTGCGTTTCACGCGTAAGAAGAAAAAAAAAACTTTCTTAAAACAGCAGGAAAAAAAAGCAATTCAATCTTCTGTTTTCTGAACTCGACAAGCCACAAGATGGTATTTTGAAATTTTGCTTGTAACAATCTGACCTGAAACTTGATAGGAAGAATAAAATCATGTTTTCTGAGAATTAGTGTGTGATCACTCTGATACAAACAACAAACATAACAGACAATCTGATAAGGCATCTGACCTGATCAATGACATTTATTTAAATATAATAGAGTGGAACATTGACTACACCTATAATTTAAGCATATAATCTATGGGAAGATACAAGCACTGGTTTACTTTACCTGACTTGGGATATGTCACCGCAAACACATCAGAGTCTTCCACTGAAAACTTTTAGGCAAACTCCAGGCTCTCTGCACGGCGGCCCACATTGGGCAGGAAAAGGCCTCGGTACTCAACATACATGGACGATGACATGAGTTCTGATCCCAGGCTACAGGTACCCGCTCCGTCTGGAGGTAGTTTTTGTCTCTGGCTTATATTTTATGATCTGCAGAGGGAGGGCAGGGGGCAGAGCCTCTTTCTTGTGGAGCGTTCTGAATGGCGGCACGTCATCAACTTTTCCAAATTATGGATTTGGAACTATGATATATTTTTCCTGTTCAAAAAGCTGATTTGCTCCAGTTCTCCTGTTATTTAAGCAAATCGATTTAGCTTATTTGCTCCAGGTCACATGTAGTAAAATTATGTTTCAAAGTATTTGAATGAACTTGAACACGCCTACGTCAAGAGTGTTGTCATCAGTAGATCCGGCAGGAGCAGTGAGTTGATTTGAATGTGCTTCTGGCATAATTGAAATGTATAAGTGATCTTATGTATAAGTGAGCGACCCTTCGCTTGCAGTGTCAGCACCACCCTGATTCAGGAATCAACAACTCTCTTCTTGGTGAAACCTCGTACCAAACAAATTAAAAGATGACACCGCAGTTGTGCAAGTGACAAGCAAGAACACAAATGTGTGAGTAATGTTTCGCTTGCTCTCCAGGGAGATGTTTCTGGAACATAAAGTGCTGTCATGTCTCTAAAGTATGTGTGGCTTTCATGCTGAGTGCTACATGTACGCCGAGATCAATGGTTTTGACTTCATAGTGACCGACGCCATGATGACCGAAACATTGCCTTTCTTTGACACCACTGTCTTGCTTGTATGTTTTTCATTTTAATAAAAAAAAATCATCCGAGCATCCAGAAAATAAATGTCAATGCTGTCTGAGGTGCCACAGAAGAGTTAAATAATTATTGTCCAAATTAATCAGAGACCAAGTGAGAATCCAAAGTGAGTGAACCATCCGATGACTTCAGCATGAAATGATGAACTATCGGCTCAGTGTTGCAGCATTTCCGCTTAAGTTGTGTTGATTTCGAGTGGTGCATGTGTGCAGTTTAAATGGTATGCACAAATAATTATTTAATTAGGTAGGTCTATGCAAATGCTTCATTAGTAACAGCATTTACACAACAACGCTGGAGTGACGGGTAGTTGAATATAATTCTGACATCATTTAGATCTTACAGGAGTGGTGAGATGTGCAAATGATTGTCATTTTACACGGAACAATGACGGCGGACCACAGACTCTCTGTGGTGGACCTGTTGAGTCATTTTCCTCGCAGTGCAGTGCAGATGAAAGTGGAGAAGTGAAAACAGCAGTTTTACCAAAGCTCTGCAAAACATTGATATGCATTCCAGTCCTGATGCTCGCATGAGGAACAATCTGCAAGGCCGCTGCGCTCCGTCATGCAAGTTTGCACCTCTAGCATTCTGTCTACTGGTTATACCTTGCAAGTGTAGGAGTATTTGTTCATCTGCACATTCCACTGCGTGTGCATGTGCGCGTGTTTGAGTGTTACATAACAAAACAGTACATTGTGGCTCTCTCACAGTGAGCGCATTGTCGGATTCTAAAGGCCCCATGTGAATCGCAGGCAGGGCGAGTCGAACCAACGAAAGCATCCAGGTAAGAACAGTTGCTATGAACTCCAGTGCTTCTTCTGGGATATACTGCATGAAGAGGTTGCAGAATGAATAATTAGGAGAAGCAGAGCAAAACTGCAATTAAGGCCTCACTGAATGATTTTCACTTACTAGAGCTTATATGCAATTTTTCAAAAGGCAGCTGCTTTGAATTTTGCATCTTCAACGTGTTTACCTTAACTATAAATCATTGTTTCTTCATGGTCTTCTTCTGTGATCAGCCTTTATTCAGCATTCCTGCTTCAGGCTGGGTTTCCACAATGCAATAGTTTTAGTCACTCCACATGACTCCAATCTGACCAATTTTATTTTATTCTTTTTTTAGAAATTCTTCAAAATTGCAGCATTCCAGCCTGCTGAGTATTTAATATCTCGTAATCTAATAATCCTAATTACTCTGCCTGGGGGAGATTAGTTGGAATGTGAATCTCAGCATATAACAATTGACAGTTTTAGTAGCTATTCAAATGGAGAGTTCATCAGCAGAGGAACACATATTTCAACAAGTTAAACAAGGTTGGTCTTTTCCAAAATCAACTTCATTTCCTCCAGTTTACATGTGAGAAAATGATATGCTTACGAATATAAGCATATATTCATAAAATGAATACGACAACATGTTGCAAAATAGAAAACACCGCCACTGGAGAAACATCTTCCCGGAATAGAAACATGGAATTTATTTATACAGAATATATAGTTTGTGTCTGATCTCAAGTTCAGCTAGTTGTATAATGATAACCTGAAGGGAAAACTGCGGTGATGGAGGGAAGTGATGGAGGGACTGATGTTCCAAAAGACAAGCCGTCATGGAAACAGGTAGAACCGGTATCTGCTCAGGGAAAACAAACGCATTCAAATACAAACACACAAACACTAATCCAACATCTTCTGATTGTGCCGAAAAAGCAGAGTTTTATGGTTTCCCAAAAAGGTGACAACAGCTAAACACAAAAATGCAACTTTAAGAAAAAAAAAAAAACCTTTCTTAAAACAGCAGGAAAAAAAGCAATTCAATCTTCTGTTGTCTGAACTCGACAAGCCACAAGATGGTATTTTAAAAAAATTGCTTGTAATATTATGACCTGAAATCTCATAGAAAGACTGAAATCATGTTTTCTAAGAATTAGTGTGTGATCACTCTGATAGAAACAACAAACATAACAGATACTCTGATAAGGCATCTGATCTGATCAATAACATTTATTTAAATATTATAGAGTGGAACATTGACTAAACCTATAATTTAAGCATATAATCTATGGGAAGATACAAGAACTGGTTTACTTTACCTGACTTGGGATATGTCACCGCAAACACATCAGAGTCTTCCACTGGAAACTTTTGGGCAAACTCCAGGCTCTCTGCAGTGTGGGCCACAGGGGGCAGGAAAAGGCCTCTGTACTCAACATACATGGACGATGACATGAGGACTGATCCCAGGGAGCCGATGGCTTCCATGCTGCAGGTACCCGCTCTGACTGGAGGTAGTTTTTGTCTCTGGTCTCTCTTGTCGCCTGGACTCATAATCTGCAGAGGGCAGAGCCTCGTTTTTTTTTTTTTTTTTTTTTGTGGAGCGTTCTGAATGGCGGCCCTGTGGTGGACGTCATCAACTTTTC